CACATACTTATTGTGCCCTACACGAAGAAAAGTAACACAATGTATTAACTACATTCCTGTGTAATGCCGACGTAGCTCTGACATTTGGTGCTGTCTGGGTAGTGTTAAATTATCTAAACTTATTAAGAAACAACTGTTTAGTCAGTTAACCTCCATGTCTCATTAACAGCAGATGTTGCTGTGAACAACAAGCAGTCCAGTGCTGAACAATGCCCACCTGCAGCCAAAGTTCAGACAGAAGCAAAAGGCAGAGATGATGATACAGAAGATGAAGAGCTGTGCTCCGCCTCAGCTGTTTTAGGAAATATTGAGTCAGTAAGCCAGGAGTTTTTGGAGATGCTGGTGGAGAACATTGTAAGGGACTCCGACCCTCCAGACTGTGAAAGCTTCACTTTGGAACTCATTCCTGGCATCTCCTCTGCTGTGATTACGTTCAAGAACAGGAAAGGTACTCGTTTGTAATAGATCTGAAAAGCACAACTTGATGTTTTCCTTTTATAAATAATCAAAGATGCTCCTGTGTGGTCTCTAGCTGATTTGCATCATGCAGAAGTAACACAACTGCAGTAGTAAAGTTATAAGAGGTAACATTTATGACACACCATACATAAAACGGTACTTGCTAAAATGATCACTGTAGTGAGATACAACACTAAACTAAATTAAACCAACACATTTGCTCTTGCGAGTTATGAGAAATTACTTGAATTCCTACAGTTTCCTAGACTTGTAATAGGCAGCAAAAATAAAGAACAGTCATTCTCACTCTGGACAGTGATGGCCTTTGTAAACATCCAGCAGAAAACACACATGCTACATTGTACATTTACTGATCAACACTGCACAAATATACATTTAACCTGAAGAACAGCTGTACTACTTCTTATCAAATCATTGTTGAACATTAAAGGGACCTTTCAGTGTTTGTCACGTGAATCCTCAGCTCCTCTTACCAAAGGTTTCTACAGAGCTGGTGACTTTTTATGAGAAAGCACAAGCATGTTTATTGCATGTATTGTTTTATGAAAGTGTTGTTGCTTAAATACCTTAATTTTATATCACTATTTCACAGGAAGCACCAACTTCATGACAAGATGCCCCCAGAACAGGACTTTCACGAATAAGGGATTTTCAGTCCGGCCTCTTGAAGTCACAGAACAAGTTCTAGTTGAAGACATACAAGATCTGAGCAAAGATGTCCTCTGTCTGTATTTTGAGAAGGAAGGCGGGGATGTAGAGAGTGTTGAGCTTAATGAAACGGAGCAGTCTGCCATCGTCACATTTAAAAACCCTCAAGGTAGACAGTTACAGTACATACTAAGCATTAATGTGTGAATGGACATGCATTATAATACACTTCAGAGATTGCTACTTTTATATCAGTTTCACATAGTGTGACAGTTTATGCAATTTTTTTTTCTCATAGTGGTTCAAAAAATTGTGAAGATGAAGAATCATCACATCATCCAGAAGGAGATCAGAGCTTATCCTTTTTACAAATCTCTGGGATCAGCCCTTTATGGCAAAGATAAGCCTGTGCTAAAACTCCCTGCTGCTGTCTCTGAACCCATTGATGACACCGTCTGGAGATACCTAAATGCCAGTCCGTCAGCAGCGGAGTCCGTTCACAGTGACATGGCTAAACACTTCTGTAAAGTAAACCTCAACCAGCCTGCTGTATGCTTGAGCCCCTTGCCCTCACTACTACAGCAAACAAATGCCAAAGCCATGATCAAAGAGTGGAGTGATACTGTGAAGGTGGCCTTTGCACAAGCTTTGTCAAAATTCAAACCCCTGAAATTCAAGCTGGAGTCAGTGGCATGGGAAGAGTCTGAGGAGAAGATCCGACAGATGCTGCAGAATGAGGATGTGGTTTTAGTGCCTGATAAATCCACTGGTGATTTATCAGTGGTTGGCTGTGTGGAAGATGTCAACAAGCTTGAGCAAACACTTTCTGATGTCCTAAACCTGACTTTTAAAAAGGTGCACAGGGAGAAATTGAGCAAAACACAAGAGATCAAAGTGTCAGAGCTGATCTTCCACATCCTGTGTCAAGATGGTCTTCGGGACAGGCTGCTGAGTGTGTACCCAGAAATCAAAATGTCAGTCAAGAAAGGAAGTTTGACAGTAACTGGATTAAATGATGAGCTTTTCCAAGTAAACAAAGTTATATATGATGCAATGTTCGCATTAAAACGACAGAATTTAGAAATGGATACATTTGTGCTAGACTTCTTGAAGGCTGGAGCACTAGAGGAGCTCACAGATGCTCTCCTAATATCTAATGGAATAAATGCAGCATTTGAGATGAATGCAGACAAATTGCAGCTCCTCGCTGTTTCTGACAGAGATCTGAAAGATGCTGAAGACCATCTGAAAAGGCTGCTAATATCTCACTACATTGATGTTGAAGATAGTAATGTCCTAAAGAAGCCAGAGTGGCAGCACCTGGTCAGTCAGTCAGAGGATGCAAACAATGAGCCATGCAGAAAAATTCGAATTCACACCACTGGTCAACAAGTCGTGGTGTCTGGCCACAAGGACAATGTGCTAACAGTTAGCAGTGAGCTTGCTGACTTTTTAACACAGAATGCTCAAGTTGAAGAAACCATTGTGGTTAAGCCCAACGCCAAAGTTGAATACATTAAACGTGACAAGTCCTGTTTGGAGGAAGTGGAAGACAAAGTGGAAGTGTTTTACAGAAATGAAGCCATCTGCCTCAGTGGTTCTAGAATTGATGTCACACACTGCAAGGCCTTGGTTGAGGACTTGGTCTCTTCTCTATACTTTGACAGCTTAAAAGTAGCAAAGCCTGGAGCAAAGACTGTCTTCCAGGATAAAGAAAGTATGTGTGTTCAGTCACTCTGGAAAGAAACCGGTTGCCTGGTCCAGCTGATTGATGAGAAAAGTGGCGGACGGGATGACTTGGCCTTTAGTCAAGTACCAAAACCTGCGTACCAGCTTCAGACACCTGATGGAGTGGAAATAGCTGTTTGCAAGGCTGATCTGTGCAGTTACCCAGTGTGTGCCATCATCAGTTCTTCTACTGAGGACTTGAAACATAGCGGAGGCCTTGCACAGGCACTTTTAAATGCTGCTGGCCCTCAGTTGCAGGATGAATGTAACAAAATAATTAATGTGAGGGGACAGCTCAAGCCTGGTGACTGTGTCATAACTGATGCAGGGGGGCGGCTTTGTTGCAAAAAAGTTATTCATGCAGTGGGACCCAAGTTTAATCCCATTAAAGGCCAGAAGGTTCAGGCACAGTTAAAAAAAGTTGTTAAAGAAAGTTTAGAACTTGCTGAAAAGCACGGCTGCACCTCTGTGGCTATGCCCATCATCAGCAGAAACAAAGGCTTCTCTCTCAATTCGTGTGCGGCCGCTATCACCAAAGCAGTGAAGGAGCACTGTGATGAGAGAGATGATGGCATCCTGAAGAAAATCCATTTGGTGAACAATGACGACGGTGCTGTTCAAGCTATGGAGGCAGCAGTCAGACAGGAGTTTGGAAACAGTGGCGTTTCTCAGCCAGCTCTTCAAAGCAGTGCCGTCAAGTCTTCACTCGGAAAACACGCTACATCTTCTAGCTCTGACCAAAACTGCTTGGGTCAAGTGCAGACCAAAGAGGGCCTGAATATCACTCTTATGAAAGGAAATATTGAGGATGCCACGGTAATTTGGATGTTTTATTATCCTTTATTATAAGCAAGCAATTAGTTTAACTGTCAGGCGTTCTCACAAGAAACGAGTCAAATAGAGTATGTAGCATTAACTACTGACCCCATCCTCTAGTTGCAGAGTATCTGAATAATTCATTGTAGTGTTATGAGGCAGATTTTTTCAAACTGACTGTTGTAGCACTGTTTCTCTAAAAATGATGTCAAATGAAGAACATGCAACTGATAACTTTGTTCTGTTCTTAGACGGAGGTGACCGTGAATACTGTGTTTGAAGATCTTAACCTGACCAAAGGAGCGGTTTCCTGTGCCATCTTTAAAGCCGCTGGACCCAAACTTCAGCAGTTGGTAAATGCAAAGCAACCCGGGGGAACTGTCGGTGAGATCATTGCCACTGACGGCTGCAAGCTGAAGAGCAAACAAGTCTTTCATGCAGTTGCGCCTCATTGGGACAAGGGACAAGGCATCGCTGAAAAGGTAAACTGCTGCATGAACTGCATGTGTTTAAAAAAAAAAAATAATAAAAAAATAAAAAAGTCAAAACACATCATAGGCTGAAAAAACGTAGAAAAAAAATCTGGACTTGTTTAGGTCGAAGACGTTTCACCTCTCATCCAAGAGGCTTCATCAGTTCAGGCCGACTGGCGTTGAGCCGGAGATATTTATCCCCATCGGTGGTGTTTGTCCTTTGATGACCAACAAAGCACTTTGTAGCACTTTAGGGGACACTTCTATAGGCAGCAACACAGCTGTGCTATGGGCTCCCCGGTGTCTCCTATAGTTGCCAACCTGTACATGGAAGAATTTGAGGACAAAGCCCTGTCTTCCTTTAAAGTCAGGACCCAGGGGGTAGAGGCTTTCACCAAGCATAAATAAATATCTCCGGCTCAACGCCAGTCGGGCAGAGCTGATGAAGCCTCTTGGTTGAGAGGTGAAACGTCTTCGACCTAAAACCAAGTCCAGTTGATTTTTTTTTTTCTGTTTTTTCAGCTTACTATGACCTGGATGACTGAGAATCACACATGAAAAACACATCATAGGGAATATATCTGACATCAACACTTTGTTCTCTTATCTATCACAGCATACTGTGAAAACATCACCCTGCTAATATACTGTAAATTGTTATTGTCTGCTCAGTTTGATGATCAACCACCTTGATATTAATAACATTTACGCTTACTTCTATAGGAGTTGAGTGGTATTTTCAAGGATTGCTTGGACAAGGCAGAGGATATGGGTCTGACTTCCATATCCTTCCCTGCTATCGGCACTGGAAACCTGAGTTTCCCAAGAGCCCTTGTAGCCTCTTTGATGTTTGATGAAATGTTGGCATTTAGCAGTAAGAAACTGCCTAAGCACCTGAAGAAGGCTGTGATCATCCTCTACTCAGGAGATTTACAGACTATCCAGGTAAGTAAAGAAAATGAGCTTTTGACTCACAACACTAAACAAAAATTTAACAGGGAAATTAACTTGGTGACAAATTAGCAGTACCAATCAGTAATAGCTCACTTCTACAATAAAGAAGCAGTGCTGAACACCAGCTTTGGTGTAATATTTGTGTTTTGGTGCCATGTACAGTGCCTCTGATTGTGTCTCCAGGTTTTTAGTGATGAATTTAAGAAGAGGTTCCCCCATGCTACAGGTGGTCTGGTGTCCACAGCTTCCTCACAAAGTTCAGGTAGGCAACACTGTGTCAAGGCTTTAGGTTTTTGGTACAGGGTGTCCGACCCGATGGCAACCGCCGGAGAGAGGGAGCCACGCGGCCCGGCGCAGGGTACGACTCGTGTGCATTTAAAGTGTAACGCTGCATGTTAGAAATCTCTAAGGATGAAATTAACAATCACTGTGCAGTGAAAGGTTTGAATTAGTGCATTTCTACACTGAACAGAAAGTGTATTTGTTTTTTTTATAAAGCAGGTTAAATATTAGCATTTGTAAAGCTTTAACTGAAACATGCTTGTATGTTTACTTATTAAATTATTTTATTGGTTTAATAACTTAAATTTTATCATTCAACAAAAGGGTAAATTTACCAATACTGAATCTCTTTTCATTTTAAAGTGTTTTGCACTGCTTTATTTTTAGTTTATTAAGCCTTTATTTATGTCTGCTTCCACAAGGTCCATTCGCTAAAGTAGTTTCGACTTCAGGGATGCATGAGACCAAAATGGGAAGTGCAACTATACAGGTTGTCACAGGAGACATAACCAAGGAGACCAGTGATGTCATCGTCAACTCCTCCAATGAAGACTTCTCTCTTAAGTCAGGTAAATGATAAATGATAGAACTGGACTGTTTCAATTATGCCAGATAATTATAATTAAAGATTTATCCCTACAATAGATCAAGTTTGCTTTAGCTCCTTATCTACAGTTAAATATAAATGCATGCTTAGAGTGTATAATACTTTAAAACTGACAAGTCTCGTGGTTGATTTGGAAATCCTGTCTAACATCAATATTGACACAAAAGTGAGTCTTCCCACAGTGCTCATTGCCTCTCTGGTTTATATTTATATGTATTTGTTTCATATTTATTTTACACAGTATATGATATTATTGTATTTTCCCTCCTCTAGGAGTGTCCAAGGCTATTCTGGATGCAGCTGGTCAGGCTGTTGAATCAGAATGCCAAACCCTTAGTAAGGAAACATTCACACTCTTTGTGCTTTTTTTGACAGAGTTG